TTAAGTCCTAACTTAGTTTTAACTCAGAGAAAGTAGAAATGAGTGTATAATGCTCGATGAGGGAAACCCAGGTATGAACCTATATGGTGGCTGGAACCATTTTTATACATATCTAATTTTTTTATTCAAAATCTAAAACCTAAAACACATGGCGTCTCCAGGGTTCAAAGTCAGGGTATTTCTAGCAACTTTATAAATGATCTTTCAAACAACTCATCTTATTAAATAATGGAAATACTGAGTACATAAGGAGACAGCTGGCTTAAAGAGCTTCAGAGTTGGAGGACACATCACATCATAGCAGTACAGGAAGTTACCTTCATGCAAGGTTGGAATTTCTCCTCTCTCTGGTATTACCTTACACGTTGACTGCCAATTCGCAAAGAGGCAGGGAATTACTGGTGCCAGTGTGAAGAACTGGAAACTGACTTTCCGTTGAATTGCATCATTCCTTCTCAGCTGTGCAAGCAGGAAGTGAGATCATTCATATTCGTTGGAGATAGACAAGCGAATATGTCATAAGCAGAAAGAAACTCAGCCTGCTTAAACTCAGAAAGGTCACTTGCCAGCTTAAATCTTTGTAGAATTTTTAATATGAGAAGTAGAAAGTATATGGTACAATAGATAAGTAGTAAGCAAATAACAGCAAAGTAATAGAAAAGGCATAGAGATTTTTAAAAAAGTTTATTTGATATAAAAAATAAACTAATGAGTTGGAAGACTTTAGAGATTACCTAGGGTCAACCAGATGACTCTGTGGGTAAAGTTCCACTCAAGTGTGTTCACATGAGTCAAGGTACAAGGAGAGAAAGTTATCCTCTGACATATATATATATACCTGTGTTCCACACATACAACTACTGCTAATAAACATCCATTTTTAAAAAGAAGATCTAAATTAATCATGCTTAGGAACCCAAATAAACAAAGATGATTAAAACTAAAGATGTTTATATTTTCTTGAACAACATTTTCACTTTGACTAGATGTCTATTTTTACTTTTTATTTAAAGTAACATATAGTAGAAAAGATACTTTCAGAGCCCATTTGATTATTTTCTTCTACACTGTAAGTACAAAGCTAAATATATGAACCAAATAAAATAGTGTTATTTCTCTCCAACAAGCATTCTATTCAGCAGCTGGGAAACATTGCAGTCACATTTCATGGTCCTCAGATGGATGAATTGATATGATGGCAAAAGCAAAGTTTTAGCATGAGTTCTTATCTTCTTTCCTGGGAAGCTGCTTCCACAATCAGTCAAATAACATGTTTTACCAGATACTTCAAAGGAGTGTTCTTGGTTTTGTTTTTTTTTTTTAATCTTATTTAGTGCATTTACTTCCAGTTCTTTAGTACCAACTTCCCAGAGAGCAATTAAATATGTCAACCACTGGCTAAACTGTATCCCCATCTCTTGATAACCTAACAATCCATTCTACTATGACCACAAAAAGGTCAATCAAGTGTGAAATTGAACACAGAACAGTATAGTCTCTATAGGAACCCTCATACTTGTTCATCATGGGACTGTTTCATCAGGATGCTTTTCAACTGTTAGTCATCCTTAGTTATAATTGCATCAGTATTCTTGGAGGAAAATGTTGACAAATTTTGGCAAAGTCCTGTCTGAAATCTAGCAATTCCCTCTATTGTTTTTTTCTTTTCATCCTAAAACACTATTCCTGGTCTGGGAATGGTGGCTCACACCTTAAATCCTAGGATTTGGAAGGTAGATCCAGGAGGATCAATGTGAGTTTGAGGCCAACCTGGTCTACAGAGAGTTCCAGAGCAGCCAGAGCTATTACACAGAGAAACTCCAAAATCAAAGACAACAAAATACTATTTCAAGAATTTTAGAAAAATGAGGCACTAATTCTATTTCTTATTATTTCACGTTTTATTTTACTTATAGTCTTTTTTAAAATTTGCATTATTTACACCAAGAGGCCCATCTGGGAATGATCTTAGGTCTCTCATATTTTCTAGGACAATCAAAGCTCCAAAGCTTCAAATTTGCATTTACGTTGGGGACCTCTGATAAACAGGATCTTATTTAGCTTATGCTGTGGAGTGATCTTTCACTAAACTCAACCTGAAAATGAACAGAAGACTAGTTATAGTAGTTATGATATGATGATGTTGCTGATAGAATCATATGTAGCTGAACTATTCTCTAAAAAGGACTCTGCTGGGCACACAGTTCCCTGATATTTCTAGATCTATGTTGTACAGTAATCTCTGCCCAAAATGTGATCATATGGAAGGGCATATTTTAAATGCAGTTCATAATATACAATGTATTCTGAGACAGGTCAACAGAAGTCTCTAGCTTGACAAAGAAGTCTTGTAATAAGATATGATGGAGAACCTCTACTTTGAAGCTACAAACAGTGCTATGATTTTCAATTCTCCTTGGGAAGAAAATGGAAAATCTGCTGATACCAAAGCTATATCAAGAGCAGTCACTGTGAATCCCCAAGATTCTATATTCAAGCAAGGGATCTCATTCTTAATATTAATGCTCTCAAGTTACCTACCATCTTAAAATTCTTCACAATTTTATCTTAGACTTTTTGCTTTATATATGAAATCTGTTAGAGATCAACAAAGATCAAAGTGTGTTTGATCTCTTTCTTCTTATTCATATTTGGATGCATTCCTTTTACTCATGTTTAGTTTTCTTCTCTCATTCATCAATTGGTCTCTTTTCTCCCATTCATGGATAGTTTCTTTACTTTCATTTCTGCTTAGTTTTTTGACGCTCATTCATATTTAGTCTATTTCCTCTCATTCATGTTTGGTATCTTTCCTCTCTTTTATGTTTGATCTTTTCCTTCTCTTTCATGTTTTATCTCACTCCTCTCATTTATGTTTGTACTCTTTCCTATCAGCATATATGGCTTCCTGCCTGTCTGAGACAAGCCTGTAGCTATCAGCCTTGCACAGAAATCCTTCCTCCATCCCAGAGTTAGGGCACATGTGTGACTTCGGGTGTGGAGTGAGCATGGGCACATCAGAAAGGGTGGTTGTGGTCCCTGATGCTTTCTGAAGATACCAAGCTCAAAAGGACGTAACGATGAAATAGCAAATAATGTATCAACAATTTGAGGGGAGGAGGGAAAGAGAACAGACTGCGTAAAAAGTGTTTTCCTGATTAAGCAAGGAAAATTGCAATTCTAAAATAATTTTATATTAGCAAAAAGTCTGAATATAATACAATGTCTTACACACCCAACACCTAGTTAAGTAGTGGTGGAATGGGGATTTTTTTCACCCAAGTTTAGATGGTCCTGGGACTGATGGTTATGGATGTTAACAACATCACTGTTATTTTTCTGGACTGGGGTATTACAAGGGCAAACAGTTGACACCAAATACACAAATAAACAAGAAAATATGAAGACAAAAGATTGACTTTCTTGTTTTGATTATGCAAAGGTTCATTCTTATACCCAGTACAGGGGCACACACTATAGCTTCTTACTGCACAGGAGACTGAGTCAGGAGGACCTTGAGTTCAAGATCAATTTGCCCAAATGGCTGTATTCAACTCATTTTAAAAGACTTTTCAAGATAATAAAATAACTCAGCTTTGCCTAGCACCCCATCAGAGAAAAGGTGTACCTTTCAAACAGGGAAAACAAACCCAGTTCCAGGGGGCTCCTTAGAGAGAAATAACCAAGGATGTCCCTTCCTGCGTCTAAGCTGATTTTCTCTAGCTGAAAACTAATTTTTCCATCTGTCGTCAATGTTGTCACTATTGTCAGAGCACCTTCGGCAAGAGACCTACCTAATCATCGCTCTTCAATCTGTGTGCACTTAACGCCTGTTCAAGTTTAATAAACCGGAACCAGATTCATCTTCGTGGAATGTCAGTCCCATCTTCGTTTCCTCCAGTCATCAGAATCAGGAATCCTGAGCAAAGATGACTAAAGGAGCCCAAGGCTGGACCCACCCGCCTCCGCACACCTGAAACCTCTCGCCAAAGTGTGCCGTCACAGGAAAGAGGCCGGCATTGCACTGCAGGACTGAAAGACAGGTCTAAGGTCACAGAGCTCCAGCTCTAGATTTCTGCAAAGGGAAAAAGGAAACGCACCTGAACTCTGACAGCACACAGTTCTGCCGACTCTCCAGTTCACACCTCTTTCAAGATTCGTTTCTCTCACCCTTAGAAAGATGGCAGAGTGCTAAAGGCAGTGTGTTTGTTGGGGGCGGGGTTGCTTTGATGCTTTCCAGGCATTTCATTGCCCTCCAGGGCTCTATGTCTTGTGCTTCTTGAAGTTGTACTGAACCTGAATCTGGAATCCATTACCTTTTTATTTTTTTATTTTGTGGTTTGGTAGAAAATTATTTTCAAACGGGTAGTATTCAAAATTAGAACCATGTTTGCTCAGGCTGAGACCACAGAGCAGAGCAAAGTCGCCTATGCTGGAGTGATTGAGTGACGCTATTCTGCTTAAGTGGCCTTGTAGACTCCTCTACTTTTCCCTTTGACTTTTAAATGTTGCAAATACATTTCTTCTTCTACATATATAACATATCTTGTGAGTGTGTGTGTGTGTGTTGTGTTAAGATGTGACTGGGGTCAGAGGAAAGATTTGATTCCTAGAGGGGGAGAAAGGAGACATATAATATGGGACTCACCCTTGGTGACATTGGAGTTGAGACCAGGGAAACTTCCCCCAAGCAAATTCTGGCAGGAAAATGTTTGCTGTGCCTTTCTGTTTCCACAGCATACATGCGACCACACTGATGCTCAAGATAAAATCGGCTTAGGTCATCTAGAAGAGTCACTTTACTGAAAGCACAGCATCAAGCCACAAATGTAATTTAATAAGAAAGAAAAAAATGTCCAACGCTATTCTCTTTTCTTTTGACAACACAAAAACAGATCATTCTAACATGAAAATGACATATGGGCTGATGAGAAAGCTTAATGGTAGAATGTTGCTTAGCAATGGTAAGACCCAAGGTTCAAGAGAAGCTAAATAAGAAGGTGAACCCAAAGAAAAACATATAGGCATCCTCCTGAATATTAACCTTCATCAGGTGATGAAAGGAGACAGAGACAGAGACCCACACTGGAGCACCGGACTGAAATCTCAAGGTCCAAATCAGGAGCAAAAGGAGAGAGAGCATGAGCAAGGAACTCAGGACCGCGAGGGGTGCACCCACACACTGAGACAATGGGGATGTTCTATCGGGGACTCACCAAGGCCAGCTGGCCTGGGTCTGAAAAAGCCTGGGTTAAAACCGGTCTCGCTGAACATAGCGGACAATGAGGACTACTGAGAAATCGAGAACAATGGCAATGGGTTTTTGATCCTACTGCACGTACTGGCTTTGTGGGAGCCTAGGCAGTTTGGATGCTCACCTTACTAGACCTGGATGGAGGTGGGTGGTCCTTGGACTTCCCACAGGGCAGGGAACCCTGATTGCTCTTTGGGCTGATGAGGGAAGGGGACTTGATTGGGGGAGGGGGAAGGAAATGGGAGGCGGTGGCAGGGAGGAGGCAGAAATCTTTAATAAATAAATAAATAACAAAAAAAATTAAAAAAAGTACACAGATTTTGTCAATGTTAAAATAGATATCTTATATGTGGGTTAAAGGTTCATTTTCTTCTTGCAAATGTCTGCAAAGTGACAGGAAAGCTATATGGCAAATTCTAAGGTGGAATTCAAAATCTGTCATCAGTGAAATTAGATAGAACGGGTCATTCTAAAACATAAAAACTTTTGACCTCAGAACCCTTTTATTTTCTGATATTTATTGAGAATGTTCCAGGACTTTTATTTCTGTGGTTTGTACTATTGATATTTAATAAATATACCACACAAAAGGTCCATTAGGAGTTTATTAGTACAGTTAAAATCAACAACAAACTTCCTAAATTTAATGAAGTCTTGTGGTTTGAATGAAAATGGCCTCCATAGGCTCAACAAGATTGGCACTATTAGGAGGTGTGCCCTTGCTGGAAAAAAATGTGTGTGGGGAGTCAGTTTTGGTTGAGGCTTCAAATGCTCAAGACAGGCCCAGTCTCACTTTCTTCCTGTTGTCTGCTGATTCAGATATAAAACTCTTACCTGTCTCTCCAGCACCATGTTTGCCTGTGTGTCACCATGCTCATTGCCATGATGACAATGGGGAAACCTCTGCACTATAAACCAGACCACAATTAAATGTTTTCCTTTATAAGAGTTACTGTGGCCATGGTGTCTCTTCACAGCAGCAGAAACCTGATTAAGACAAATAGAAAAATATAAATATCTTATATTTTAATATCTTGTAAATAAAACAAATGCAGTGACAAGAATGTTCTGCTTCATGTCTTTTAAAAATTTTTATTTCAGAGTGGATCTTTCTCAGTTGTTGTTGCTCCACATGACAGCTATCTCTGCAAGCATCTTGACAGCCCTACATAGAAGCCTGCTTTATTATTGTCCTAAGTGGGTCTTAATCCAGTCAACTACACAGTCATCATTGAGCATCTTTGCACTTACCAAAACATGCTATACACTTAATGATGAGATTATTTAGTTAATCTATTAGGTGCCATGAGGAAATATCAACTTTTGTTTACGACAATACCAGTTTTTGAGTTGGATAGAAGAAAGAGTCTCTATACTCTTGGTTAATATAGAAAAGAATGATTAACTGTAGGCGTTAGCATGGTGATAACTGCAGCTGGGGATCAAATGCATCCTGTAGCCACGGGTTGGAAGGGTAGTGTGATGGTGAGATGCTGAACTCCCAGGAGATTTCACACTAGAGAGAGTAGCTTTGACCATGACTATGACTATGCCCATAACCACGTTAGGCTACATATTCAAATAACTTGTAGTTAATTCTTGAGAACAAGGAGGAGGTAGCATGGAATGACATAACCAGAAGTGATACTATGACCTCAGAGGAGTTTAGAAGGGCATGTGGGAACTTCTGAAAATTCACAGATAAGATGCCTGCATTATAAAATGACAGGCATGTCCCCAAATCAACAGTACACTACAAATAGCTTCTGCGAGTCAACTGTGTTGCCAAGGACAAAAGAAGGCTGAGATCATAACTGGCCATGTTCCCTTCTATGACTGAATATATGTGATTACAAAGACGAATGGAGAGAGAAGATACTGTAGAAGACCATACTATATTGTGAAATTACTGAAACAATATTTTAAGGGTAAGAATAAAATTGAGTTCTGCTTCTCAACGTAGAGGACTATCGTGAGTAATCATTTTTGTCTTGTTTCATTTAACCTCTTATTATGGCAAACACCATTCTTCTACCTTAGAGGATCATTTCTGTAGAGCACACAAAATGTTTTTATTTTCTTAATTTTGCTGTATGATAAGGCCTCTCTTGGGTATATCAGATTGATAAGGTTGGAAGTGGTTTGGATCTTTTCCCTTCTTCTTTCCTTCATTTTCCCTGTTCCTTCCCCCTCCTTTCTATCCCTACCTCCCTTCTTCCCTTCCTCCCATCTGTCTTTTCTCCCTCCCACTCTTCCTTTCTCCTTCCCTTTTTTCCTTCTTTCCTTTTCTTTCTTTTCTCTCTTTGTTTCCTTCCTTTTTTCTTTCCTTCCTTTCTCTCTTTCTTTCTATCATTTTTTTCTGTTCAATCTCATTCACCTTTCTCATTCTCCTTTTCTTCAATATCTCCATGTACTATTGGAACACTCAGAACAAGCATATCAATGTATCTTTAATAAAATAGTCATTAAAATTTCCATACTGATGCTATCCACTTATGTGCCCCTCTTTATTACTTTTATACTTTATACATTTTAAAAATGATAGATATGGTGTTTTATTAGTGAAGCACTTCAAATCTCTTTTGGAAAAAAAGCAATTTACAAACAAATTAATAAAAAAAACCCAAGTTCACTTGGTATAGAAAATTGTCCCTAAACCAAGTTAGCATGAACTCTGAAACCACAATGTCTATGTTTAAATCCTACCCTTCTCACTTAGTTTCTAGCAAATTTTGGGCATATTTTCTGAGTGTCAGATTTCTCATATGTGAAAAGGGATTAATAATAATGCCACACCTATGATCACTGGGATTAAGTGTCTTGCTGTCTCTAATTCAGAACGTTGACTAACATGTAGTAAGATATCTTTCAGTACCACCCATTATTAATGCTAATCTTTCCATATCAAGCTATGTAATGTAAGGTTTGGACTTAGAAATAATGTCCAGGAAATCACACAGCCTGGGAATTATAAGGGCTTACTTATGAATAATGAATGGTTCAGGATCCAAAGAGAGTTTAAATATTATCCAGCATAGCCTTCTTACTTTACATAAAGAAAACAAACGTCTAAGGTCCTGAAAGCCTGGGAGGTTAGCTGGGGTCATCTACTCCTAGGAAATGGCAATCATTTTTCTAAGAAGCAGGGGCCAGGCCCAGAGACTATGGGGGGAAAAAGGCACCAGGATATTTTACAAGACCTTTTCTACTTCCCACAAATTGTAATTCTGCTCATTATTATTCTTTTCGGGCACAGGCTTGGTGCTAAATTAGAACCATTTGTGATGTGGTAGATAAACAGCTAAAGTCAGAAAACCTGGTGCAGTGTTTCCTACATCCAGGCTTTGACCCTTGTCTGTGCTCTTTCCCCATCATTGTGAGGTTAAAAACATCTTTTAGGGCACTCTGTTTCTATTGGCTAAGGAATCAGTCATGCTAACCTCAGGCTTTGATCCCCAACACGGCCCAGGACACATTCAGGCAAATACAATCAGTATTCTACAGTCACCATTTGCGCTTGAACACAGCCAGCAAACCATGGCACACACTTACAAAGTCACCACCCACTTATGGAAGCTAGCAATAAACAAAGAATGATGGGCCAAGATCAGTAATCACCATTCCAAATCCAAGTCATTAATCCACTCACAAGGGTCACCTGGGTCTCCTCTAATAACAAACACATGGTAGGCACTCAGGGAACTCAGGCTGAATATTTCTCATTGTGGTGGCTTGAATGAGAATGGAACCCGTAGGTTCATATGTTTGAATACTTGATGCCCAATTGGTGGAACTCTTTGGGTAGAATTGGAAAGTGTGACCATGTTGGAGGAGGTGTATCCATTCCTCAGTATGGGTTTTGATGTTTCAAAAATCCTCACCATTCTCAGTTAGCTCTGTCTCTATACTCTGGCCTGTGGTTAAGATGTAAACTCTCAGCTACCACCCCAGCACCATGGCTGCCTGAATGCTGCCATGCTCCCTGCCATGATGGTCATGAACTTACCCTCTGAAACTACAAGCCCGCATTAAATGTTGTCTTTTATAAGTTGCCTTCATGGTGTTTTATTGTAACTAAGCCACTCATGAAGCCGTTACCCATCATCATGCCCCCAAAACACAATGACAACTATGGTAAGTGCAGAAACAAAAAGAGGCATTCGAACTGTGTGTAAGATAAAATTTTCACCACCTCAAAAGGATGAAGAATCACTGCATATGTGCATGGCACAATGATCTTGTGCCATGTAAAGACTTTTCACTTGTATTGCTTTAATAAAATACTGATTGGCCAGTAGCCAGGCAGAAAATGCAGGCAGGACAACAAGAACAGGAGAATTCTGGGAAGAGAAAGGCACAGTCTGCAGTCATCACAGAGGAAGCCAAACACAGAGGAAGCAAGATGAGAATGCCTCACTGATAAAAGGCACCAAGCCACATGGCTAACACAGACAAGAATTGTGGGTTAATTTAAGATGTAAGAGTTAATAAGACGCCGGAGCTAATAAGCCAACCAGTTTATAATTAATGTAGACCTCTGTGTGTTTCTTTAGGGCTGAATGGCTGCAGGACAGAAAACCCCTGTCAGCACTTATGGCATGGAGTTGAGTGCAAGACTGAGAAACTGGAGCCAGAGAGTTGAGGATGCTTCAAGATGAGAAGACAGTATATAAAAGGCCACATGTGTGAACTCAAAATAAAAGGGAGATGACCTGGAGAGTGAGGCACAGGGCACTGTAGACCTGGGTACAGCTCATCTCAGCTCTGTGTAAGGTTAATGCAAGAAACAGGTTTTCTGAGTGACATCAGCATGCAATCCCCTCCAATTAACTGCATTTCCTGCATATTCTTGAGCAC